CTGTAATTCAGTTTTCACGGTTTTTCAGTGAGTTAAAATTAGGTCGCTTCTCATTAAAATGTGAGCTGAGCTGATTTCTCCCCGCACAGACCCATCCTTACCGCAAGAAGACCTAAACGGCTTAGGTGCAGGATCCTTTAAAGATCACCTCATCCCATACCATCCTGCCTGCTCCCCTAAGATCCAAAGAACAGGCCTTTCTCTGTGTCTCACCAAGGCACAGCTGGGTGGAAAATAGGCAGGGCCTTCTCAGTGGTTGCCCCATGCAAGAATGAAATACTTTGCTCTGGGAAGTGCAGGTCCCCCCCACATTTTTCTCTGGTTACTGAAGCCCTATTTATTCTAGAAAGCTTTCATTTTATGAGACTGTGTTTTTATTATTTCTTTAAACTACTGCATCCCCCCTTTTTTCTTTTTTCTTTTGCTTTATACTATGTTACAAAAGCACTTTATGTTGTCGCAAGCCACCTTGAGTGTGTTTTGTGTGGTGCTAGTGTGGTGTAGTGGTTAAGAGCGGTAGTCTCGTAATCTGGGGAACTGGGTTCGCGTCTCCGCTCCTCCACATGCAGCTGCTGGGTGACCTTGGGTCAGTCACACTTCTTTGAAGTCTCTCAGACCCACTCACCTCACAGAGTGTTTGTTGTGGGGGAGGAAGGGAAAGGAGAATGTTAGCCGCTTTGAGACTCCTTCGGGTAGTGATAAAGCGGGATATCAAACCCAAACTCTTCTTCTGACATTTAGAAGGCTGGGATAAAACTTTCAGCTAAATAAATAAATTGCTGTTCAATAAGTCACCAAGAGGAGTTGCTGTAACTTTTGAAAGATATTGGTCTGCAGAAAGTGAATCTTAATGTGTGAAAAAATATATCAGCTTACTGCGAAGAGGAGATGCACAGCCCTGGGCTGTAGTCCTTGTATTTTGCCCTGTCTTGCAAAAGTAGCATAGAAAGAAGTTCTCATAGAATATTACGAAATCTTATTGTCCCATCTCCTGCAACCTACTTTATAGCTGCCTGAATGGTTTTATTCCTTTCAATTTTATTGTGGCCACATATGTATTTGCAATCTCCCTGGTCCTGAATGGGGTATCTGTGCCCCTGAAGGACCAGGTGTGCACCCTGGGAGTCATTTTGGACTCACAGTTGTCTATGGGGGTGCAGGTCAATTCTTTGTACAGAGCAGCTGTCTTCCAGCTACATCTGGTATGCAGGCTGAGACCCTACCTGCCAGCGGACTGTCTCGCCAAAGTGGTGCATGCTCTGGTTATCTCCTGCTTGGACTACTGCTATGTGGGGCTACCTTTGAAGGTGACCCAGAAACTACAATTAATCCAGAATGTGGCAGCTAGACTGGTGACTGGGAGTGGCTGCTGAGACCATATAACACCAGTCCTGAGAGACCTACATTGGCTCCCAGTACATTTCTGAGCACGATTCAAAGTGTTGGTGCTGACCTTTAAAGCCCTAAACGACCTTGGTGCAGTATACCTGAAGGAGTGTCTCCACCCCCATCGTTCAGCCGGGACACTGAGATCCAGCGCCAAGGGCCTTCTGGTGGTTCCCTCATTGTGAGAAGTGAGGTTACAGGGAACCAGGCAGAGGGCCTTCTTTGTAGTAACGCCCACCCTGTGGAAAGCTCTCCCATCAGATGTCAAGGAAATGAACAACTATCTGACTTTTAGAAGACATCTGAAGGCAGCTCTGTTTAGGGAAGTTTTTAATATTTGATGTTTTATTCTGTTTTTAATCGGTTGGGAACCACCCAGAGTGGCTGGGGAAACCCAGCCGGGTGGGCTGGCTATAAATAATAAATTATTTTTATTTTTACCTGAAATGCCTATGTTTACCACCCTGAAATCCATTTCTGGATGAAGGGTGATTTATAAATTTTAAAAATAAATAATCAGGAGCCACAACTGCTATTCCTCCACATAAATGCCATGTGTGCCATCTCTGTCTCTGGCCACTTCTGTGTCTGTCATTTTTTTGCTCCACCCATCTGCACGTCTAGTCCCTCTTCATTGCCATTCCTGGTTGTTTTTCCTCTTCATATTCTGGTGGGTGCCCGAGATGCTCCCCCAATCTCTATCTACCCCTCACTTCCAAGTCAATCTTCCTGTTGACAGCCAGATTGCTGCACAACGACAGTGGTACCTTGGGTTAACAGATGCTTCAGGTTACAGACTCCACTAACCCAGAAATAGCACCATATTTTTCGTTCTATAAAACGCACCAGACCATAAGACGCACCTAGTTTTTGGAGGAGGAAAACAAGAAAAAAAATATTCTGAATCCCAGAAGCCAGAACAGCAAGAGGGATCACTACGCAGCGAAAGCAGCAATCCCTCTCGCTGTTCTGGCTTCTGGGATAGCTGTGCAGCCTGCATTCGCTCCATAAGACGCACACACACATTTCCCCTTACTTTTTAGGAGGGAAGAAGTGAGTCTTATAGAGCAAAAAATACTGTACCTCGGGTTAAGAACTTTGCTTCAGGATGAGAACAGAAATTGCGTGGCGGAGGTGCAGCAGCAGCGGGAGGCCCCATTAAGTAAAGTGGTGCTTCAGGTTAAGAACAGTTAAGAGGTTAAGAACGGAGCTCCGGTTAAGATTAAGATTAAGTTAAGATTAAGTTAAGGTTAAGAACGGAGCTCCGGAACGAATTAAGTTCTTAACCTGAGGTACCACTGTATTTCTGAAGTGGAGGAGACACTGAAAATACATTCATGTGGAATACAGTTTTGACAATCTGAGTCTCCGATATAACGCTTGATGGCTTATTTAAGGTTTGTTTGGTTTGTCATGTCTGCGAGATAGCGGTTATGTCAACATCCAGGCAATTGCCTCTTGTTCAGATTTAATTAACAGTTACATCTCAGTGAGAAGAGTCCTTTCTCCCACAGTGGTGATGCGTCATCGAGGAAAAGCGATTTCATAAACTGAAATCCTCTCACTGTCGAGGGGCACAGGTTTCGGAGGAGTTCCCTGATGCCAAGTTCATCCTATCAACTAAAGTAGGGAAAGATTGAGGGCACAAGGAGAAGGGGATGACAGAGGATGAGATGGTTGGACAGTGTTCTCGAAGCTACCAGCACGTGTTTGACCAAACTGTGGGAGGCAGTGGAAGACAGGAGTGCCTGGCCTGCTCTGGTCCATGGGGTCACGAAGAGTCGGACATGACTAAACCACTAAACAACAACAACAAAGTAGTTTAGATGCTCTCTGAAAGCTGGGTCAGCCTTAACCGCTGTAAATTATGACTGATGGTCTTCAGTCCTTATAGAAGACAGGTGTCAGTTCAGGGACTCAGCTTCCTCCCCCCCCCCTTTGGCAGTAGATAAGTAGAACAAAGATAAAGGAGTCTCTTACCAGTTAGACATTTTAATGATCACAGCGAGAGAACAAAGAATCCATTCCGAGGGATGAAGGTGCTCCCAATTAAGGGTTCCACCCACTTCCCCCCTCGTCACCCACATCACTTCTACGTCTGGCAACCTGATCTCGCAACCACTGTGCTTTCTGTGCTGCCACCTTATCTGCTTTCCTTGACCTTGGGCTGAGCGGATGGATGCTTTCCAGCGAAAGTGCGTCTGTTAACTCTCTCTGCCCCAGTTCTTCTTCTCCTAGCTGTTCACCGCCCAGTTCTTCCCAATTTCTGTCTTCTGAACTATGTCCCTTTGCAAACCACTGTTCCAAATCTATATTGTCCCACTGTCCCTGGGAAGATTCAAGATCCTGATCAGGAGCAGGGGGAGAGGGAGACTCCCACCATTCCTCATCCGTGCAGCCCTCCTCAGCACGGTCCCTGACAACAGGTGTGCATCAGTTTTGCCAATAGTGAAATTTCACCGTTAGGAATTTATGGGACCTCCCATGGTGTGTCATAGAAAAAAGAAGGGTGTCCTTGCTGCTTTTCCTCAGAAGCTCTTCCTCAGTGGGGATCATTTTGTGCTGTACAACATTCATGATCAGAAAGCATTATGGCATTATGGAAACCAGCTTTGTAAGCATGGCAATGATGCTCAAGGATGCTCAAGTTCAGCTTGTATTCCAATGTGAATGGACCTGTTCCATGCCTCCTTTTTCAATACACATTTTCACATGGATTTGAGAGTTTCTAAAAATCTGCACAATAACATGGAATGGGGTGTGTGGAACAGACTTTATAATGTGCGACTGACATGGACTGGAAGTAGACTGGGGAAACTCAGTCAGATGGGTGGGGTATAAATTAGTATTAGTATTATTACTTAATAAGTTATCATGCTCCATTGCTTTATCCTTTCCTGAGGGCATAGGGGGTAACAGAGAAGGCCATGTCCCCATATTTCTTCTTTCAGTGAAGACAACTTTCATGCAGGACAAAGACCCAACCCACAGTCCAACCATTTCTACTCAAGTTTTGAAGCTTGGGGAACAGCTGGGGCTTTGTGGTACATTCTGATCCTTAGAAATTGCTGTTTTAATTCTGTCACCAACTTTGAATAAAGTTCTGACCATCTGAGGTAAAACGTTGTTTGTGAGATCTTTCCATGCAGTCACTTTGCATCGGATTAGCAGCTCCACGGAGGCTGACTTGGTGTCTTTAGAAAACAGAAATGAATCAGTTCTTCTTCGTGATTGTACCAAGGAAGCAAACATTTGGGTTCCTATTGAAGAGAGTGACTAATACCCCAGAAATAGAACAACATCACCTTGGGAACAATCTATGACTGTTCTCTAGCTCATGAGAATTGCCTGGCACAGTTAAATGATTTGACGGTGAGAGCAGTAATCTAAGAGGGTTCTTTGAAAATACCTGGCACTGACGCACAGATATAATCCAGAAGAGAATTGTTTGTGTGAGGTCACTAATCTGATGTTGCTTTTCAAAATGATCATCATAGCACGCAAATGTCCAGAGTGAAACCTGTTTGATTTCGCTTCACTGAATTTCTTTCTTTCTTTCTTTCTTTCTTTCTTTCTTTCTTTCTTTCTTTCTTTCTTTCTTTCTTGTGTTCTAGGCTTGCTGGCAGAGCCAAGGAAATTTGCTTGACGCAGAGGGCCAGCCCACACACCCACAGCCGAAATGGCCGAAGACGCTGACATGCGCAATGAGTTGGAAGAAATGCAGCAGCGTGCTGACCAGATGACCGATGAGGTGAGGGAAATGTGGCTGGAATGATAAGCAGGGGGAAAACCACAGCCTCCTCATGCAGCCTGTTGCCTGCAGGCTAAGATCCTCACCCAGAGAAATGTAGACTTTTTCTGTTGGTTCCTGCTTTCTCAGCTCTGTCATTTTGATGTTCTGAACTCAGAAGTGAGAAAGCTGCTGCTACACCTTCCACCATCCCTAGCAGTTGGCAGGGGTGGAGGAAGGGGTGTGTGGTGGGTGCGGACCGCCCCAGGTGTCACCACTGAGGGGGTGACAAAATGCCAGGCGGCACTCACCATGGGGCCTGCAGTGCGCCCGAGCCATGCATCTCTCCTGGGAGAGATGCTGTGGCTTGGGCGCATGCAGGCTCCGTGCTGCCCAAACGGTCCGCCCACTGCCTCCCCCCCCCCAGCTGTTGGGCGGCTAAGTAGGAGAAGGCAAGCAGACTCCAGAGGCCCCGTGGTGCGCCGTGCCCCTAGGGGCAGCTCGCCCCACCCCTTGGCATGCCGCCCTAGGTGCCTGAGTGGCTTCCTCCGCCACTGGCCGTTGGCTATGCTGGCTGAGACTGATGGGAGCTGGAGTCCAAGCAGAGGGCCATGACTTCCCCACCCACTAGAGAGGCAAAAGTTTGAACCTGGGGCCTTCTGCGTGAAAAACCAGGTGCTCTACTAATCAGCTGTGACCCTTCTCATGAAGGAAGCAAAGAATGCAGAAGAGTAATTCCAGAGGGGTCGAAATATTGTCCAACAACAAGGCCTCTGCTGTTGACTTTGTGAAGTCTTCATGTAGGAAGGAAGAGCACCCTGGTGATTTAATTTTTAAAGTGTCTTTGTTTAAAACATACCAGAAAGTGCAAATTGAGTCATTTTTCTGTGCCTTTCATTGATGCACCTCGGCAAGCAAAGAAGAACCTGTGGCCCTCTAGAAGTTGTTGGACTTCAGTTCCCATCAACCCCAACCAGTATAGCCAGTGGCCAGGGATGGTGGGAATAGTAGTCCACCAACATCTGGAGAACTACAGGTTCCTCTTCTCTGTTCTAGGCTTTACAACCAACAAACAAGCTAGGTACAGATCTAACAAGCTTCTTTGGGCAGCCTCTTTGAGCAGTATTTTGGGTGGGGGAAAGGTGGCATAACTTGTCTAAATAAGCAACCACACATGTATTGCTCCTTGTGGGATTTAGTCCATGATATGCTGCTATCACAAAGAAAATGCTTCTCCCATCTAACCTGCAAATTTTTGGTTGTAAGGTTCTCATGACTTCCTCTACTTAGAACCTGGGCAAGAACCTTGTCCTTTTCACACACACCCAACCTGAAGCAGCCATAGTCTGTTGTAGTATAGTTGGAAAACAATCAGAAGAGTTAGAGTGGTATAGTGTTAGACTAGGAGTAGAGGGACCCAGATTCAAACCCCTGCTTCACGAAGCTCACTGGCTGGTTGTGGGCCAATCACTATCTCTTAGCCCAGCCTATGTCACAGTGTTGTTGGGAAGATAAAGTGAGAGGGGGAAGATAACCATGTAAATAAATTAAAATAAGACAGATGTCATCTTTTTTTTTATTTGACGTACTTATGCTCTGCATGTTTCTGAGCTGAAACGGTTTAGCAATTCTAACTCTCTTCCTCTGTCCCCCCCCCCCATTTCCTTCTCAGTCACTCGAAAGCACTCGGCGTATGCTGCAGCTTGTTGAAGAGGTAAGGAATCCATGGCTTAACTTCAGTGTTTTCTCAGGAATGCTGAATGGTTTGCAGGAGTTGACCCATCTCAAAGCCCATGATGCAAATGATGACGAAGGTCACACTCATTGCCTCCTGGAGATTGTCCCATCTATGGAATGACCTCTCTAAACACAGTGGTTTGTTTTTCTTTCAAAGCACTTCTACAGTTTTGGGTGAATGCACATGCTCATCTAGCATACATTAAGCCAGGCGGTGGTGCCCTCTCCAATGTGGCCAGCCAGAGCGCAGCAGAAGAGTCAGCCTCAGAAACTGAGCTAAGCGAGCAAGAGGCCAACTCTGCAGATGAGAGCTGGCTGTCAGTCTAGAAAGGGCAGCCCAGCCCCCCTCCTTCCCAGGGAAGATGTTATCTCACAAGGAGCGGAAGAGTTAGAAGGTGGCCAGAGCATTGCCAGGCAGCCAGCAGATAAGCCAGTGTCTGATGCTGTGTCTTCTGGGAATGGGGAGGAGGCAGGCCAGCCGTTCAGTCCCCATACTAGGAGACTGGAGAAGCTCAGAGAACAGAAGGGAAGGAGAAGAAAGGCGGGATTTTGGCATCCTTCTTGTTGGAGGAGGGACGATGATTCAGACTGATCAACTACTGTTAATGCAAGCAGGCAGGGGCTATGCTCTGGATATTTATCTTGTAAATAAACATACATAAAACTGACGGAGAGTCATTGCTGCTTATCAGACTGCTTGCCTGCCAGAGATCGTTATACTCATAGGCACATAGTTTTCTGGTAACATGAAGGGCAATGCCCCACAACGGAAAGCTTCCTGCAGCTGCTTTTTGGTGGTGTGGCAGAAGAATGCATAATACCAGGAATGTTGTGTTACTGCTGTCCTGTTAAGATGGATAGAGCCAACAACTTTCAATTTGACATCAGTATGAATCCGTCAGATTGACAGGTATCAAAGTTGGCTTTCTCTGTGGTGAGTCATGAATTCAGAGCTCTTCTGTCACTTCTGGATGGAGGTGGTAGCTCTCATTGCACCCTCCCTTTCAAATGCAATGCTGTCCAGAGTAAATGCAACCCAAACCTGCAAGTGCACTCCAGATTGTTGTGCATAAAATAGGCTCCAGCACTACTGCTCATCAACTGATAGGCAATAGAGCTGGATTTGGTGGTCACATACCGTGCCTGGGCTGGGCATGGTGTTTTGAAGTCCTGATTTTGGGACTTCCAAACTCCTAATTGCTTGGCGACAAGGTGGGCATTCCTGCCCCCTGTCAAGACTAGACCCTGGCCTGCATGGAGCCCAAAAGGTTCAGGATCCCTGAGATACTCTGCCCACCAGCAGCTCTCAGACGAGGATCATGCCCATCAGCTGCTTTCTGATCTTTCTTACTGGAGATGCCATCGACTGAGCCCAGATACCAGCTGAGTGCAAGCTATTTGCTCTAGTGCTGAGCCTCTCCCCTGTTGATGGTGATGTCTTGGCTGTGATTGTGCAGCAAATTTATAACAGGGCACTAGGGCAGAATGAAGGCCTTTTGCAAAGGGGAAGAAGGCAAGTTTCACATATAGGTGGGTGTCACCAAATCTGGAGCAGACATCCTTTCCTATTGAAACATTTGACCTCTGGGCCAAGTCTGGAGGAGGAAAACATGAAGGAAAAGGCCAGTTCTCATGATAAATCAGCTTGGCATTTAAGCATGCTGCTTTCAGAAAAGAACAGCTATCGAGGGAAATGTCATGAACTACTGGTGTTAGGGGTGGGCTTAATTTTTGTGCTGTTCTATTTTTCATTTTTGCAGTGGACGATTGGGTGGGTAGGGGAAGCATGTATGAAATCTTCTCCCAAAGATCAGCACTGTCCTAGCATAAAGCTGCAGACCTGAGCACATTTACTTAAGAGAGCAAGATCATTGGCCACTGGGAGGGCCATAGCTCAGGAGTCTGCATGCATCATCATTGCATGCAGAAGATGCCTGTTTTGAACCCTGGTGCCTCTAGGTGGGGTTGTTAGTATTCCCTGCCTGAAACCATGGAGAGCCACTTCCATTCGGTGTAGACAATACTGAGCTAGACTGAGTCACTAGTCTGATTAGCTTCAGACTTTAGATTAGCTTCAACCAGAGCCAGGGCCTTTTCAACACTGGCTCCGGCCTGGTGGAACGCTCTGCCTCATGAGACCAGGGCCCTGCAGGATCTGATTTCTTTCCGCAGGGCCTGTAAGACAAAGTTGTTCCACCTGGCCTTTGGCTTGGAGCCAATTTGATTCCCTCCCCCTTTTTCTTTTCTCCTCCTGTGATGAGGCTGCATTTTAATATTTCAATGTTTCAATATTTTAATGTTGCATTTTAATCTTGTTTTTAAGTTGTATTCATTCAACTTGTTTTTATTATTGCTTGTTAGCTGCCCTGAGCATGGCCATGCCTGGGAAGGGCGGGGTATAAATAAAAATTATTATTATTATTATTATTATTATTATTATTATTATTAGTGTAAGAAATCTTCCTATATGCCTAATTAATGCTGCACATCACCTTTTCCTCTGAAGTCATGACTCCCTTGAAACACACACACAAATGCACACATTATGGCAAAGATTTGCCCCATGTTCACATGCCCCAATGGAAATGAAAAGGTTTCTTTATGATAGGGGGAAGGTTCTGTAAAAAGGGGCTCCCTTTTTTGCAGAAGTCAAGAAATGAGCAGGAGCTTGGTGGCTTCTTGGGGGAGATGGTTTGCCTTCCAAGTGATTACAGTGGTGCCCCGCAAGACGAATGCCTCGCAAGACGGAAAACCCGCTAGACGAAAGGGTTTTCCGTTTCTGAGTTGCTTCGCAAGACGATTTTCCCTATGGGCTTGCTTCGCAAGACGAAACGTCTTGCTAGTCTTGCGTCCCCCCCCCCCGCTTTCCCCCCTTTTTCTAAGCCGCTAAGCCACTAATAGCCTTTTAGCAGCTTACCCGCTAATCCTTTAATAGCCGCTAAGCCGCTAAACCGCTAATAGCGCTAATCCACTTAGCCGCTAATAGGGTTGCTTCGCAAGATGAAAAAACCGCTAGACGAAGAGAATCCCGGAACGGATTCTTTTCGTCTTGCGAGGCACCACTGTACCTTTCCATATTTTAATGGGCCATTGGGCTACGCCAGCCTTTAACCTGGTCCTCTCCAGATCTTTTGAACTACAACTCCAAAACGTAGTAGTCCAAACCATGTGGAGAGCACCTAGGTGGTTAAGGCTGGGCTACAGGATGGTGTCAACACACACAAGTGGTAAATAAGGAGTTCCTTGTATAGCTGGGAGGCACAGGACTGAGAAAATAAATTGTAACTCATGCCTAAGAAATGGTTCTGCAGCCATTCCTGTGTCCTTAGGCAACTGACTCATCCTTTTAGTGTCTTCTAACTGTTGGCAATGTCAGGCTGTCCTAGTAGTTTAATGTCTCTCCTACCTCAATCAGAACAAGGTTGCTACTCCAGAGTAAATGAAATGAAATGTATTTAATTGCCTGCTTTTAGATTGTGTGCTCTGTTCCTCCAGCAGACATGATATGTTCCCTTTCGATCCTAAGGAGTGCTTATGGGAGATGCTGACATACAAGTGTTTGGAGTTTTGGAGTGTTTCTCACACACAATCTCCTGCTGCACAGCCCATCCTGTTCAGGAGGGTCTCCTGACCCCCAGGAGAGGCTTTTCATTTCCATGAGCAGGTGGGAACAAGGGATGGACAAGCCCTCTTCTACCATCCCCCTTCCATGAGCTCTTCTTAGCAGGGCTGGCCCACCCATGAGGCAGAGGGAAGTAGCTGCCTTGGGCGGCCGAAGCTCCCAAGGTGGTACCCCTTTGGGTGCCCCACTGTCCCCCTTCCTCCACCGGTGGCAGAGAAGCAGTGCCACCATCAACACTGATTTCACTGAGATCTTGCAAGACCTTGCCAGAACCTACAGTAGGTGCTGCCACTTTGCTTCTTAGGATTCAAGCCTTTCTCTTTGCTTAGACAACTTTTGACCCACCAAACTGAAAGCATAACATCTCAGAGAGAGAACCTTCTCATAAATTTTCCAAGAGCTCCCCTGTCCCCCCAGCCTCTCCACTTTTGGGGAAATTCTGCCTCCCTCAAAAGAGACTGTTCAGCGAAATCCTCCACTCCCTATCCCTGTTTGACTCAGCATGGGTATTTGTGAAGGCCATTCTCCATCAAACTATGTGTGGCATTCACTAACCAAGGTTCAGATTCTGTTTCCGGTTCTCACTCAAGCAGAGACTATTCTTTGTCTTGTCCACATTCCTGCCTCTGCCTTCTTTCACCTTAATCTTGATTTCTGGTTTTTTTAATATTGTATTTATTTACCCTTATCCGCTAGATGGGGTGAGCTCCTGTTGTTCTGTCCCAGCTTCTGCCAAGCTAGCAGTTCAAAATCACACCAGTGCAAGTAAATAAATAGGTACCGCTGAGGTGGGAAGGTAAACGGCATTTCCGTGCGCTCTGGTTTCCATCACAGTGTCCTGTTGCACCAGAAGCGGTTCAGTCATGCTGGCCACATGACCCAGAAAGCTGTCTGTGGACAAACACCGGCTCCCTCGGCCTGAAAGCGAGATGAGCGCAGCAACCCCATAGTTGCCTTTGACTGGACTTAACCATCCAGGGGTCCTTTACCTTTTTTTACCGGTAGAATATCACCCACTGACTCCATGACAAAATTGCTGCCCACCTCAACAATAGCATCATTGCACGAGTTATGAGTAATCAAAGATTTGATCCTGTGCTCCGACAGGTCAGACTAATTGAGTTCAATGGAAATTTGACTGGACTTAACTGTCCAAGTTCCTTTAACTTTAACTTTTTTTAGCATATTTACCCTTAGTGACTAGCCACATATGCATACAGAAGCAATAATAATAATAATAATAATAATAATAATAATAATAATAATAATACCCTGCCCATCTGGCTGAGTTTCCCCAGCCACTCTGGGCATCTCCCAACAGAATATTAAAAACATGAAGCAAGGCCTCATGTCAGTGGTAGGTGGCAGAGGGGGGAAATGGTGGAGCAATTAATGAAAGCTAACTTGGTGAGTGTGCTTATGCATCACAACTCTCTGTCCTTCAAGCAAAAGGCACTGCCGAAATTTAATAATACATTGCAGCCAGGCCAAAACACCCAGGGTGGAAAGCAGTGCCAATGAGGGGTGTGGTCTAGGTAGACTGGGTGTGGCCTGGAGCAGAACCAGACAAAGAACCCTTGAAGGCCACATTCTGAAGTTCTCCATCCCTGCCTCACATGAACACCCTACCGGATAGCCATGCCCTGTAGGAGAAGGGAGAAGATGTGATCTTATTCCCCCATCATTTGTAGGAGAGACTAGAGGAGAATATTGTCCAAATGAGGCCTAGGTCACAAATATTATTAGTCCAAGGGTTGCACGTATTTGATATAAACCATTTCTTAGCTGTTTTGCTCACCTTGGCATTAGCAGTTCTGTTTCCATTGCATTTCAAGGGTGTCAGGATTTTGGGGGGAAGGAAGAGTGACAATAGCATGCGGAAATGCATTATATTAGGGAAAATAGAAATATTGAAGAAAAAATGTCTATATTAGGCAAAATTGCATTTTAAAATCTGTATATTGGGATAAATTTTCACTAAAATGCTGGTGACTTCTTTTTTACAAACATTGCAAGCAAATGTGGAAATGTGGAGAAGTAAATTTAAGACTGGAAAAATGAGAAACTAAATGAAACCAACTGACAGGAAAATAGAAATATTGAAGAAAAAATGTCTATATTAGGCAAAATTGCATTTTAAAATCTGTATATTGGGATAAATTTTCACTAAAATGCTGGTGACTTCTTTTTTACAAACATTGCAAGCAAATGTGGAAATGTGGAGAAGTAAATTTAAGACTGGAAAAATGAGAAACTAAATGAAACCAACTGACAGGAAAATAGAAATATTGAAGAAAAAATGTCTATATTAGGCAAAATTGCATTTTAAAATCTGTATATTGGGATAAATTTTCACTAAAATGCTGGTGACTTCTTTTTTACAAACATTGCAAGCAAATGTGGAAATGTGGAGAAGTAAATTTAAGACTGGAAAAATGAGAAACTAAATGAAACCAACTGACAGCTTCATAATCTCTCATGTGATGGGTTCCTATTGATTCCCATATCCCTTGCCATTCCCTTTTCACTGTTGATCTTTGAGCTTCTAATTTTTTCCAGATCTAGGGCTGCTTGTTCTCCCACTAATTTCTTTCTTTCTCTATCTCTGTCTCTTCATTTCATCCTCTTATTCTTACTGGAATGTAGAGCAAAGATGCTGGTATCAGGACCTTGGTTATGTTGGATGAGCAAGGAGGTAAGTTCAGATCATTTACATAATAATAATTATTATTTTATTATTTGTGCCCCGCCCATCTGACTGGGTTACCCCAGCCACTCTGGGCAGCTTCCAACAAAGATTAGAAGTCAAAAGCATCTTTTCAATGAAGTGAATGATTAACTGTAGATATCTTTTAAAGGTATCAGTAACGCATGCATGTACGAACCTGGTTACCAGTGACAGAAAGTTGAAAAAGTCTTTTCCCAGCACCCATCGGAATCAACAGGAATTCCTGAACCCAACGTTTCCAAAATAACCCCACTGCTTTTTAGAGTGTGTGGTTCGAAGACTGTGGCCTTTCAATTTTGCCCATGCCTATCTACACAAAGGATCTGTAAGCCAAAGCTCTACAAGTCCGCAGTGCGCCTACAGAATTCTGCGCAACCTGAGATTGCCCCATCATCTTCGATGTCAACAAACATAAGCCTTTGCGCACTTGGAACATGGACAACATTGAACATCCACCTTGCTGTTGGTTCACTAGAGCTCTTTCCAGAGTAGTTAAATTGAGGCAAGGGTGCTTAGTAGTTCATAATCAGTTTGACTGATGGAAGCTCTGTTTCACTCCTATGTACAAGTTGCTTGGGGGATCAAATTCTCTAAACTCTGGATTTAAGAAGTAATCTCGATACTCAATTCCTATTGAGCATTGAGACCTAAAGGGCAAAGCTGGATATAGAGAGCATGCAACCATATTGCAGAGGCAGGTGACAAGATTTTGAAAGTGATCACTGCACCAATTTCAATGTTATTTAACCAATTTTTTTTTAAAGCGTTGCGCAGGTTGGATAAATGTGACTTGGGGAAAATGTGATTTGCCTATTGTGTGCAGCTGGAGCAGCTGTGTCTCTGCTGTCTTCAGGGACCCCTCCTGTCATTTGTGCCTTAGCAATGTATGCCTCGGCAGATGATCCGATTAATGAAACCGTTTGTTAACCTTGCCATGTGATCTTTTCCCAGATGACCCTGACAGCAGAAGTTACTTAGGATTGTTAGGTGTTATATAGAGGATTCTGATATGGATCATTGGAACGTGCAGATGACAAAGAGTATCACATTCCTTTGTGTGCCATACCCCTTTTTCCTGCCCGGTTTTCTTAAGGCACCTGTTTACTTTCATGCTGCGAGTGATTTGCAAGACAGAAGCCTCCTGAGTCAACTTCAGTGAAAGCGCTATAGAGGAGAACAAGGGTTTATTTCTGGTATAGAAAGCAAGTGTCTTTGAGGTCATCAGTGCAGTGACGTGACGTGCTGAGTGTGTAGCCCACATGGCAAATCACAAAGCACCTCCATGAAGCCTCTTGGTTCTCTTGCTGATATCTTGAGAAATTCAGTTGCGTGTGAAGACTCCCAAAACCACCCCCAAAATAAAGACACAGTAGACACAGATTTTAGTTTAAGGTTTTTGGCATTAATTTTGGCCACAGCTTTATTGATTACAGCATGTGAGTGGTTGCTTAGGCATTGGTTGCAGACTACATGAACCTGCACAGTGGCAGGAACAGGACTGTCAGTAAGAGAAAGGGGAGTAAGAAGCTGACTTCCATCTCACAGCTCACCCCAGATGCTTCCAGGGGCTCTGGTGTGGCCCTAGCCCCTGGACAGGGTTCGGACAAAAGCAAGGAGAGCCTCTGGATTCCTTTAGCAGAATTGCCTAGCAGCCGTGATGGAGGGGCAGGCACAGCCAACCACTTCCCCTCCACAAAACATTGAACCAATGCCTAACTGCCAACCTTACAAAGTTGTGACCACTTGCTACACAGTAGGCAAAAACCAAATGGCAACAGCCAATCAGCCAAATGGCAAAATTCCTACCGGTCCCCTGCTCCAAAACAGATGACCCCTAGACAGGCATAGCAAGGCCAAAGGACAGCCCTAAATATAGGGCAGGACAGCCCTCGGTAGCCAATAGACGACCCAACAGGCCAAATTTCTGCCCCAGCAACTGAGGGGCAACCAATGGGGTGTTGCGGCTATCCAAATGGTCCCGCCCCACAACAGGGAGGCAGTTTAGGTGGTCTCACCACAACACGTGCCCTCCATGATGGAGGACACGATCCGCCATCAGAAGGGTTATTAAGCACATTTAAAGGGTGTGTTTTCGTGAGACGTTTTGGCATGTCCCATGTATCTAATTCTCCTCCAGGTGAAAAAAAAATCTAGTTTCAGTTCTATATGCTTTGGTTTCCTATCAATGGTTAGTAAAACCAAGCCCAAAATGATAAGACTACACTAGTGGCCAAAATTGTGGAAACCTTTTGGGAAAAGTGTAATTCTGAGGTTTGATGGCTCTTAACACCATTTTCTTTTAGAGTAATAACATAAAATTATATATCAATGGAAAGATAATTTAATGAAGAATGTAATGCAACAAAGTTTGTTCAATTATCTGTATTCTATCAAAAGTTATAGCCAAATAACCAGAAAAAGAAGCACAGCTTGCTTAGGTTGATATGCAGTAGCTTTCCTTCATGTGAATGTAGCCAATGAGCATGAGTGTTTAGAGAGCCAATCAGGTGTTATGAGCCATCAAACCTCGGAAATACACTTTTCCCAAAAGGTTTCCACAATTTTGGCCACTAGTGTAGCTGTGCTAGAGAGAGCACAATATGCAGTGCTGTCCTAAACACATTTACTCAGAAGTAAGTCCCACTAATCAATAGATTTTACCCCGTAAAAAGTGTGTTCGGTACTGCAGCCATAGGTTCCCATTCCAGAAACATATAATTCAGTCACTGTGGCTGTGTTACATTGAGATATATTAGGGGTCAAAACTGGATTAAGTCCAAGCCCTTTGGGTTAATTGGAGTTTACTAGGTCTTAATTTGCAGCAGGTCTTGGTTTTGCCGAATTCTGGGACACACTTTCAGTCCTAGGCTCATCCCCACAACATGCAAAGTAAACAACAAAAGGCCTCTGAGCATGTACAGAGAGCTGAGTCTTCATAATTGAATAATGTTAAAGTGTGCATGCAGCAAGTGATTAAGGATATGGAAGTCATGCGGGAGAGCCTGGTTTCCAGGCATGCATGAGCCACTGCACCTTTCTGTGCGGCAAAATTAATTGTCTGTTGCATCAGGCATTCTTCCTGCGCATTCTCTCTACTCCTGGCAATTGTCCCTTAGCCGGCTGCTCAAGTCTTGAAATAGAAACAGGCAGCTGCTGCTTCTACTCCAAAGCCACCTGAACATTGCCCTACACTGAGGTCATCCTCCTGCGGCTAACTAAGCTGGCTTCCTGGAAGATTTGCACAGGCAGAGCAATGTAAAGCTGCCCTCGTGGCAAGCAAACTCTGCCCTGATGTACCTGACTCTTCCTCTCTTGCTATCTCATCCATTCCACAACAAGCTCTCAAACCAGGACCCTGAAACTTCGATTTGATTTTACTCATTATGTTTCTATGCTGCTTTTCATTCATGTGAATCGCAAAGCGGCTTGCAAGCAAGCAATAACTATAACAGAACAGAGCATCGGAAAGGCAATGTAAATCATATAGAACGATTGACAAATCGTCAGTAAAACAATTGCAATCTGTTCCAATTACGCTATTGGCAAAAAAAAAAAAAAAAGGTAAACAGCACAATTACAACAAAATTCTTATTACAGTCATACCTTGGAAGTCGAAAACAGAATCCATTATGGAAGACCATTCGACTTCCAAAACGTTCAGAAACTAAAGCGTGGCTTCTGATTGGCTGCAGGAAGCCATCGAAGCCCCATCGGACGTTGGGCTTCTAAAAGAACATTCAAAAACCAGAACACTCACTTCTGGGTGTCGATCGTTCAGGAGCCGATTTGTTTGTGAGCCAAGGCATTTGAGATCCAAGGTATGACAGTATAGGATTCACAAAGTACAATTGTCCCCTGTCTCCCAAACCAGTCTACCAGTGCTCATTGTACAGAGGAAGACCTTGTAAAAGCTCAAGGGCCTTGATTTCCTCCGCTATGAACATGGATTGAATTTTCTCTTTATGTTCTCATGTCTTCCTCTGTTCCATGGATAGTTAAGGCATCCAGAAGCTGTTGGACTCAAACTCCCATAATCACTAACAACTGGCTATGTGGTTTGGGGCTAATATGAGCTGTGCATCCTAGTTCCAGCAGTAGACACCATGGTGCCCTGCAGAGTACCACTCCCATCAACCCCAGCCAGTACGGCCAATGATCAGGAGTGATGGCAGTTGTTATCCAGAACATCTGGGGATCACCGCATGGGCTACCCCTGTCCTAGTTTATGTAGTCTAGACCAGCAGGTACTCTGCATGCATAAGACCCTATGTTCAATCTTGCTTAGGAATGAGGGAGGAATTTGGTTCCGTAAGGCTATTGATGCAAATCTATCCAATTAATGCTTTCCGAAACAGTATGCAAACCATTCTTTTCTCTCTTTCTTCTCTTTAACTTCAGGAACCAGCCTTGTATTTGTTGTTTGTGAATCGATTTCTTCTTTTCTTCTACTAATCTGTCGAAACATGCATCTATATTTTCGTTCCAATGCAGAAAATGAGAATAGAACTTGCTTCAGGATTCTAATATTTCATTTCTTTTCCCTGAGTAGCTGCTATGATTTTTCCTCCTTGGATTAAAATGTTTCTTTCCTATAACTGGCCATCACACTATGTTTGAAAGCTGGGCTCTGAATCAGATTGATCTCTTAAGGAGAACCAACTTGGGACGGGCCAGTAAAGTGATTTGGTCTACACTGGTGTTGAAACAATTGACTAAGAGGGTGGTGTCTGACCAAGTTTTACTCAGTAGACCCATTGAGATTCATGACCATGACTAAGTTAGGGCCGTTTATTTCAATAGGTCTACTTTGAGTGAAACAGTTGAATACCACCTATTGTCAGTAAGGTGGCAACTCTACCCATGCTTAAATTGTGCTGCATGGTTGCTTCTGCAATCTTAGCACGTATCATTACATTGGGGTGGGTTATTTTTGCTTCTATAGATATAATAGTGGCATGGAACCACTGTCTCCCACTTGAGAAAATGGGGGGTGCAATTTGTGCTACCCTAAGTAAGCACCAGGCTGTAGGTGTTCATGAAAGTCATTTATTGTTTGCATGTGAACCCACTGTGATGGGCCGGATAGTTATGTTAAACTGTTATGATGAAAAAACAGGTGTAACTCCATTGAAGTAAAAGGAATTACATTGGCCTAATCATGTCCTGGAAGTCATGGCAAAGTGAGGTAAGCAGCAAGAATAGGGAATTATGCTAGTCAAAAACAGGAAAATGCAACAGTTTGTATCCTTACGTAGTCCATCTGCTCTGAAGCTACTTTGGAGCATATAGAAGTCCTCTCATCGCTTCTCTGGGCATCAAACTAGGTCTGCCGATTCTTGTAGTTCCTCCTACTGCAGTGGGGTTACTCCTGAAGTATAACAATGTCACGGACAGAGGAATAAGACCCATGGTCTTCTCTTCTTTAGAGATGGACCACGGCCAAATAATCAGATCTGAAGAGCCTCAGTCTTTGAAAAAGTTTGTATCTAGACATGGATCTTAACTCAACTCCTCATATCCATTCTTAATACCATTGTTAACTGTCTACTTTCCCACCAACTCTCAAGTCAAACCAATTACATTTTCAACCACCATCAAATTCATAAGTGGAAGTACTGTAGATATTTTCCATGGCCACCATTTAAATTGTGTTGGAGTTTTTTTGCAATTAATGTACATACATACAAGGTAATAACCCCATTTCTTTCTTTCTCTTGGATGCCATTGATGTCTTAGTATCTGGATGTATAGTATTATGTTTCTGGATACTGAGGTATTTGGTAGCACCTCCACGTTTACATTTTGTTCAAATGACTAGATCTCATTTTATTTTTTATTTTCATTGTATGTGAATGTGTGTGTGCTTTACCATATTAGCAAAGGGGATCACTCTTCAGCCTCTAGGTTTGCTTCCATCTTTGCTTCAATGCATCATTTGCAATTAATGCATTGAAATGGCCCCATCGCGATTCAGTTTCTCCATCCATCATATTTGTTCATCATATTTGTTCAAGACAAACAGCTGCAACAGCGAAACGAAACAAAAGTACAATTCATTCCATACTGTCATCCCTTTGTCCTGACCAGAGCAACTCGATCGAGTCGAAGAGGGCATGAACCATATCAACCAAGACATGAAGGAGGCCGAGAAAAATTTAAAAGATTTAGGGAAATGCTGTGGCCTTTTCATATGTCCTTGTAACAAGTAGGTACTGGGTACCAGCTCTGCTTTGTAATGTCCAGTTCTTTGTCATGAGTGAATGTCTGAAGTTTTCTTTTCTTTTTTGTCTTTTTTTTCTTTTCTTTGTCCCTTTCCATCTGCTTCATACTGTGGGGATAAAATACTTGTGTTTAATCAGAACAACTGGAGCGCATCGAAGAGGGAATGGACCAAATCAATAAGGACATGAAAGAAGCAGAAAAGAATTTGACGGACCTAGGAAAATTCTGTGGTCTTTGTGCCTGTCCATGCAACAAGTAGGTGTTGCCTGCCTGCCTGCCTGCCTGCCTGAAATCTTGAGCACCCAAGGCTGATCGCAAGCTAGCAAGCCTTGTGATGCTCATCCTTGCTTAAGGCACTCTGGGCAGGATGAGCATGTGGCATGCAGAGAGAACAATTCTGGTTCCAATACGTTCATCTCATAGCGTAGACCAGAGGTTCCCAAATTTTAGGGACCGACAAACCACTCTTGCCCTGCTTTTATGAAAATAAAAAGTAAAACCCTCCCGGCTTCCTCCTCTTCTCCCCACTGTCAGCATCCAAATTCCCAAGCGCTATGGATCCAACCATTTATTCCCAAAAGCAGTTACCTGGAAATTTGAATGCTGACATGGAGGGGTTGTGGCTTCACATCAGTCCCAGTGGAGAAGAAGTGGCAGATTGCCCTTCCCCTCCATGGATGGTCACTGGTGTGACATGGGAACTAGACGAGGTCGGGATCATGGTGGCTTCGTTAGCTATTTGAGAGCCACTTGCCATCATCTCAGAGTTCATGAGTGGCTTATGGGTTTAATGTTTGGGAATCTTTGGCAAAACAGTGAGATCACCGTAGCTGCATTTAAAATCAGGCATACCACACTGAAACCTTCACTGTGGACACTTTTAAATGATGAAGATTTCAACATTTTACAGAGTGTGTACTATGTCGTAATAACCTAAGCTTCAAAAATTATGGCGCTATCTCAGAATACTGACTTTTCTCTCTCATTCTCAAGCTTTAAAGGGAATGCTTTCTTGACCATGAGCTGTGCTCCAAAATTGCATAAAATGACCATTTGGAGCCAAAAACAATACCAACATCCTATTTAATCAGTTAATCTCTCTTTGCGAGGTCTGGAGGCGTGCCGTGGTTTCTTGTTTGATCCCAAGAAATGGGGAGTTTTAAAATATATTTATATATATTGGCAGGAAAATTAGACCCATTTTGCCAATTGTCGTTCCCCAATTGGGTAGTGTACACCAAGCAGAAATGTTGAAATGTGCTGGGTTTGTTTGCATGTTATTGTCACAAAATGAAAATGCAGCATTAAAAAATGTGATGTCTGGACTTTGGAGGGAGGCAGTAGCCATGAAAGAACAGGCTTTCTGATGGATAGCAGACTTAGTATGCACTGACACTGCATGAAGGAATTACTAAAAGTACATTAATAAGTAGGCTGCCCCAAATGGTGTGTATGTCAGTGAGTGACTGTGTTCAAGTGTGTTTGTAATCTTCTGTTTCAGCATTTCATTAGTCCAGCTTTACAGTAGGATATTTGCCTACTCACCTGGGGGGAATAATAATTCCTCTGGGTGAATAAATTGCCAAACATTTCTGGGAAGGTATGATTCTTGTTCTGATGTGCAAGGCTGGATCAGTCCTTCAAAGCAAGCAGCAAAAACCAGCCAGAGCCCTTGCAGAACTTAAAGAGAATATTGAAACAGGAGATGCCAAAATCTGCAATGGCAGTAGAAAGTTTGGATGGCTGAACTTTATGCTGGCTACCCTTTTGCATAGATAAGAGAGTCAACCAATGGGTAAAGTGGTGTGTGTGTGTGTGTGTGTGTGTGTGTGTGTGTGTGTTTTGAAAGGAGGAAAGAGTCTATTGTCCTAAGTAGACCTGACAATCTAAGGAAATTCTAATCTCAAGTGTCAATTACTGTGCTAAAAAAAGTCACCTGAACTATCAAAATCCAACTAGCATTCAGGCTGGTAGAATTCTTTGTTTACCTGTTCAATCATGTATTATCATTACAGAATTATTATTATAAACATTTGTTAGCGACTTTATACCAAAAGAGTCTCAAAGAGATTTAACAAGACGAAACACAAACAGATAAAATCAAGTCAAAGCCAAAAAGATAACCAACAGCATACAACAAAAAATTTCTGGATTGCTTATCAAGCAACACAGCAACTTCTTCTAACAATCCTGCTAGTATGCAGCCTGTTCATCTGTATGGTTATTAAGAAGCACACCCTAATGAGTTTTATGGGCCTTATACTACCAAATATCCCTAGGATTTCAGCTGGACAGCACAACCCTAACTATATTTATTCAGAAGTAAGGCCTCTTGATTTTAACGCAACTTACTTCTAACTTAGGGACGCGGGTGGCGCTGTGGGTAAAACCTCAGCGCCTAGGACTTGCCGATCGCATGGTCAGCGGTTCGAATCCCCGCGGCGGGGTGCGCTCCCGTCGTTCGGTCCCAGCGCCTGCCAACCTAGCAGTTCGAAAGCACCTCCGGGTGCAAGTAGATAAATAGGGACCGCTTACCAGCGGGAAGGTAAACGGCGTTTCCGTGTGCTGCGCTGGCTCGCCAGATGCAGCTTGTCACGCTGGCCACGTGACCCGGAAGTGTCTGCGGACAGCGCTGGCTCCCGGCCTATAGAGTGAGATGAGCGCACAACCCCATAGTCTGGCAAGACTGGCCCGTACGGGCAGGGGTACCTTTACCTTTACTTCTAACTTAACAATGCAGTCCTATGCATGTCTACTCACAAAGAAGACCCACTGAGTTCAATGGGATTCATTCCTGTGTTGACATGGAGGGCAATGAAACTAACACCTGGGTCAGCAAATATATGTTTGTGCTATTAAGTCCAATGGTGGTTTATGGAACTGCAGTCAAACCTTGGTTGTCAAACGTAATCCATTCTGGAAAACCATTTGACTTCTGAAATGTTTGACAACCGAAAACTGAAAGCGGAAGCCTCAATAGAATAGGGAAACTCAAAACAGAAGCCATGTAGCCCGTTCAGCTTCTGAAAATCGTTCAAAAACTGGAGCAGTTACTTCCTGGTTTTCAGCTTTCGGGAGCCAAAACGTTAAAAAATGGAGCTATTTGAGAACCGAGGTTTGACTGTAGTAAGGATTCTTCATTTAGCCCACTCAGTCTCCAAAAGTACCCAACTTAAAACATCTTTCTTCAAGCAATTTATAAAATACAGCACTCATTAAAAGTGTTGTTGATTAGCACATTGTTTGAAATCTATGGCCAAATGGAAAACATTGAACAGTGTTCAGATCATACGTGCCACTATTACGAAGTAGCAATATTGGACATTTCTTACTAATGGCACTCCAAATTTTCGTCTTCTCCTTTCTTCACTCAGATAGGAGAGCTTCATATTTAAAGCACAGACTTGTACATACCTCATTAATAAAACTAATTGCCATCTTTGGTTTAAATCCCCAAGAGGGACTTCCTGAAAGGCTGATAATTCTGACAACGAGCTTCCATCACGTCCAATTTGTAATCTGGGATAGCTTTTGTTCTGAAACAACCCAAAGGAATGCTGCGCATGCTAATATTATCTGTCGCCTCCTGGTATGCCTGGATTTTAACTTCTCTGTGCCGACTCAGTCAAAGATGGCTCCTCGGTTGCCCTGTGCAATTGAATTCGCAACGTGGCTCTCCAAGACGTGGCTTTCCAGGGCTGAACGTTTTAAGATTTGCAACATAGCTGAAGATCCATTTTTGCCTGTGTCCCACTCGCTGCGTAGGCTGTTACTGCTAGTGCATTAAGAGAATGTTTGAACCACTGGGGTTAGCTGTGCTTTATGGAGAATGCTTCACTTTCTTATTCATGCCTGTAGCTGGTGCATGAAAAAAAATTATATCTAGAAGAATTTCCCTTTCTGATGCTCAACTGCTACACATGCTTGTATTATAGTTATTTATCTGTTTCTTCATTTTTCCCGCACTCATCCCACTATGGCCTAATTTTACTTTTTGTCTCTGTGGACAAAGGTTTGTACATCAACTCTGGATGTATATTCTTTCCAAGTACCGATATATTATTAAAATAACTAATCAAAATTGCCATATATGACCCCAGAAGTCAAACAAGCCAAGACTGATTTCACTGGAAATCACTGAAAAGTTTGGCGGATACAGAAGATTATTGTGCCACACATAAAAAAGCAAGTTGGCCATGGTTCTGTGTTCAAAAGAGGCCAGATCTGTGTGTTTTTTAATCTTAATCTGTTGCTGTGATGTACACACTACCCTCTGTGGTTTCTGTCTTCATGTCTGTACGGCAGTATGTTCTCTGTGTTATATGTTCAAATATCCCATGTGTCATGAAATACAGGTTTTCTAGTTGTGTTTCATTAAAAAAAATTTAAACAAAACAACAACAAAAACGCAAGCCCAAATTCTTGCTGACTTGGCAGTCGCAGGCGACTTCATTGGAAATGAAATTTCTAAACATCGCAGTCGTTGTGGCAGCAAAACGATGAAAATGAAATCAATCCTTTTGTTCAGTTGTATGATATATCGGTATACTAGACTGTCCTGTCCCACCCCCTTGTATGAAACGCTCATTTGCTTGACTCAGCTCTTAGCTTGAAGAAATAACAATTGTCACATTTCTTGCAGTTGCTTCCGCCCAGTTTCTGCTTCGTTACTCACCTTCTCTTTTTGCATAGGCTTAAATCAAGTGATGCTTATAAAAAAGCCTGGGGGAATAATCAAGATGGGGTTGTAGCCAGCCAGCCGGCACGCGTTGTGGATGAGCGAGAACAGATGGCTATCAGCGGTGGATTTATCCGCAGGTGAGGGTTGTTCTGGGAATCTTATTTTTACCCATTCTTACCCCTCTTTCTTTCCTGTAACTGGCACATTCAAACCATATGGCCCTACGGAGAGGGTCTGTGGTGATGCTGTACTGTTGTTTATTCTCCAAGTTGAAAACATCCAAGTCAAATGAGTCCGAGTCGTTTGTAAATTTCCACTGACATCCTATGTCCTATGTGGGAGGGGTTCTGAAAAAACTTCAGATTGGCCCGCAGGTTGGGGGACTTGTAAAAGGATAAAAGAGTACAGTGGTACCTCGGGTTACATACGCTTCAGGTTACATACAATACAGGTTACAGACTCCTCTAACCCAGAAATAGTACCTCGGGTTAAGAACTTTGCTTCAGGATGAGAACAGAAATCGCGTGACGGCGGCGCGGCAGCAGCGGGAAGCCCCATTAGCTAAAGTGGTGCTTCGGGTTAAGAACAGTTTCAGGTTAAGAACAGATCTCCGGAACGAATTAAGTACGTAACAGAGGTACCACTTTACTGTACTAAAAGAGTACAGTGGAACTTGGGTTACGTACCGTCATCCTTACGAATGCTTCGGGTAGCGAGCTCCGCTAACCCAGAAGTAGATGCTCCTGGTTGCGAACTTTGCCCTGGGATGCGAGTAGAAGTCGTGCGCCGGCGGCGCGGTGCCAGCAGGAGGCCCCATTAGTGAAAGCGCGCCTCATGTTAAGAACGGTTTCTGGTTAAGAACGGACCTCCGGAATGAATTAAGTTCATAACAGGAGGTACCACTGCACTAGTACTAAAATGTACTATCATCCCCCTCTCATTCATGGGCTCTGTGGGCTGCACTTCTGGACAGGAGCACTGTTCCTAGGAGAAAGGATGAATCACAACAGGTTCTGCTTGCATTACCAATACAGCTCTCCAGATGTTTGGACTCCAACTTTTATCAGCCCCATGGCCATCAGTGAAGAGTTGATTATGAGTTGTAGTCCAGAACTTCTGGCCAAAGCTATACTAGTTGGTATTTCTTGATAAAATAGCTCAGAACAGCAGCTAAAGGAGTACAGTCTTTCGGCTAGTTCTAAAATATTATGTTCTCCCTCTCCCTATCTTTTATTGATTTTTCAATTTAAAGTAACAAAACACGGCCATAAGGAAGACAAAAAAGGGTTCAGGACTGAGATGTTGCCTTGGTCAGTCCAGTGGGCTCCAAGGGTCATCATGGTGAAGAATCTATCTGATAGAGAAGTATTCTGGTGGCAAATTATTATCTCCGTCTTTTAAGGATGTATATACCACACTTCAGGATAAAATCTTTCCTGCTTGGCTTAGAAATGAGCACCTGTTTCATGACTTTCTGACAGTAAGAAGCGATCAAGTGCATTGCTCTGAATAGGCAAAGAAGTCTAGCAGTTTGGGATGAATATGTAGCTTTATGATACAGTTCAGATCACCTTTACTCCTTACTGCTTGACAGGGTAACAAATGATGCCCGAGAAGGTGAGATGGATGAAAATCTGGAACAAGTCAGTGGCATCATTGGAAATCTCCGTCACATGGCCCTGGATATGGGCAATGAGATTGACACACAGAACCGCCAAATTGACAGGATCATGGAGAAGGTAAGAGCTGGCCTGCTGTTCGTACCCTATATTCCTTGTTCTGAGCATGATAACAAGTTTTTTTTTTCTGGATCAAAATGTTGGGATAAAAACTAAGAGTGTGTTTAATTTCCCCTCCAGTTTGTGGGGTTGTAGGGGTTGTAGGGATGTGGGTGGCGCTGTGGTCTAAACCACAGAGCCTAGGGCTTGCCGATCAGAAGGTCGGCGGTTCGAATCCCGGCAATGGGGTGAGCTCCCATTGTTCAGTCCCAGCTCCTGCCAACCTAGCAGTTTGAAAGCACGTCAAAGTGCAAGTAGATAAATAGGTACCACTCCGGCGGGAAGGTAAACGGCATTTCAGTGCGCTGCTCTGGTTCGCCAGAAGCGGCTTAGTCATGCTGGCCACATGACCCGGAAGCTGTCTGCAGACAAACGCCAGCTCCCTCGGCCTATAGAGCAATATGAGCACGCAACTCCAGAGTCATCCGCGACTGGACCTAATGGTCAGGGGTACCTTTACCTTTACCTTTCGGGGCAAAACATTTAGCTTTTATGCTAAAGTGATGGGTGCAGGGACTTCCCTTTTAGCAGTATATAAAGGCTTCAAGGCATAAGCCCCATGACATTTGCATGAAATTTGCATGTGGTGTTGTTTGTGGCCTCTAGGCCAGCTTTTCTCAACCTTGAGTTCCCAGATCATAGATTGTAGACTTGAAAGGGACACTGAGGTCATCTAGTTCAGCCTCCTACAAGGCAGGAATCTCAACTAAAACATCCATGACAGATGGCCATCCAACATCTGCTTTGAAACTTCCAATAAAGGAGAGTTCCCAACCTTCCAGAAGTCTTTGGTTGCCTCAGAAGATAATTCCTCCATAATGCGTATAGGACTAGGTATCAAAAGATAAAATCAGAAAAAAATAGACAGGTATCTCACCATGCGCAAAAGATAGGAATGTAAGATTGAGACTGCCACAAATGCACACCTTCAGGGAATGAAATTCGCAGCTAGGTAATTTTCTTTATCCAGTAACTGAATGTAGTGACAGATCCTCATTGGACTCGAGAATAAGTATAGCAACGTTAGCTTTTCAATGCCCAGCTGTACCATTTGTTAAGGGAACTGGAACGGCCCCTTTCAATCCAAATATAAAATGCATCATGCTTTATCCTGAAGTTCTGGAACTCCTCGTCACTGCAGAAGACCTTTTTACACTTGCATACAGTAGCTATCAGTAAGTGGAAAGTTCAGCTCATCTGAATGTGAATTTGGCTTTATTGTCTACTCTGCATGTATCTAGAATCAAAGAATCACAAAATCATAGGATTGTAGAGTTGGTCATCTAGTCCAAACCCCTGCAATGCAGGAATCTCAGGTAAAGCGTCCATGACTGATCCAACCTCTGCTTAAAAACCTCCAAGGAAGGAGAGGCCACTACCTTCTGAGGGAGCCTGTTCCACTGTCAAACAGCATCTTACTGCCATAAAGTTCTTCCTGGTGTTTAGTCAGAATCTCCATTCTTGTAACTTGAAGCAGAGCAGGAGAAAACAAGCTTGCTCCATCTTCCATGCGACAGCCCTTGAGATATTTCAAGATGGCCATCACATGTCCTCTCAATCTCCTCTGTACCAGCCTAAACATACTCAGCTCCCTCAACTGTTCCTCACAAGGGTTCTTTCCAGGCCCTCTCTCATCTTGGTTCCCAAATGTTCTCAAACCATAACTCCCATCGTCCATGACACTAGCTAGAAATGATTGATTGATTGATTGATTGATTGATTTTTTATACTCTGCCCTCCCCGGCCAAGTCCAGGCTCAGGGCGGCTAAGATCAGGTATAAAAACAATTGATTAAAATACAACTTAAAAACAAGATTAAAATACTACTTAAAATGTAGCCTCATTTCAGTGGAAGCCCAGATCAAAAACTGTTTGGGGGGAGAAAACGTCAAATCTTCACCAAGGCCAACTATCCAGACTGGTCCTACATGGGCCAGAAAAGCCAGGGAAGTCCCCAAATAGGGGTTCCATCACAGAAGGAAAAGGAAAGGAATGATAGTTGTAGCCCAACAATTTCTTGGAACCCAAGGTTGAGAAAGGCTGCTCTAAGCAAATAAAGATGGTGGTTTGTTCGTTTCTCGCCAGCACTGAACTTTTAATGCACCCAGCTGCCCTCTAAGCAACCTGGGTCATCCCCAGGTAGACTGGACTGGAACATTACTCAGGATAAACTTCAGACAACTCAGTTGCTCTGTTGCATCTATTCCACAATTACATCTCTCTCTCTCTCTCTTTCTCCCATCTAGGCTGTTTCCAACAAAACCAGGATTGATGAGGCCAATCAACGTGCAACAAAAATGTTGGGCAGCGGTTAGATGTGCCCCTGTGCTGATTCTCCTTCTAAACACTGTCCGCAAGGGCAGCACTTTCATGCTATTTTCTCATGGTATTTACCAACTAGGTTTGCACACATGCACATATCAAAAAAACCACACACAACAACCACCCCACCCCTCTTTCTGCCATATCCCAGTTGTAAATGTTGTCCTGTGTAGGTTGTCAGCTTTCCAAAAATGATACTTGTAAATTATTATCTTCCAGATCTCTTCCTTTCCAAAGGTTGTATATAGTACTGATTCGATGGCTATAGCTCATGACAACGTTTGATATATTTGTTGGATTTCTATTGCCCCCTCCCTCCCCTCTCCCTCTCCCCGCATTTCTTTCTTTCTGTCTGTCTGTTTTTGGTTGGTGAGGTTTTTTTAAACAACAACAACAACTTTATTATGTTTTTTGCTGAATGACAAAAAATGTAGGAATGCTCAACGTGCTGTTAAACTTTTAACTATACAGTATTGTTCTTGTAAAACTGTTAACATTCCACAGAGCCACCCGCAAGAGTATTTTCTTTGGGTGTCATGTCGTTTAAGCACTTAAGAATTTGGTGTTTTTCTCTCTTTCTCTCTCTCTCTTTCTCGGTTCTCCATCGCTCTCTCCATTGGTCGTTATGAGTTCATTGATTAGACAGTGTGGAATTCTATAAGTTATAACAAGCATTGCACTAAAAGAAATAATACTAATAAATAAAAAGTGACGTGATTTTATGCATTTATTGCATGAGAAATAGACTTTTAGACTCCTTAACTTAAGTGAGACTTTTCCATGGCAGTAGCAACATCGACGACAACAAAAAGAAAACAATTAAAATTAGCATGCTCCGTATTGGGACACTGTCAGGACTATGTTATAATACCAGCAAGTTTGCAGTAGTGCCATTTATTTCTTCTTGTCAATATATATATATATTATATTATATTATAAATATAAATATAATATATATAGTTATGAGCCATGTTCATTTCTTTTCTTTTCTCTTTTTCTTTTTTCCCCTTACTTTTAATTTCAAAAAGAGATGGATTTGGCACTCATTTAACCATTGCCAGCAAATTAAATGTTTGGCTGATACTATTGTCGACGACAAAAAAAATATTTAAAAATGAAGAAAAAAGCATCAACAAATAAGAAATAAGTGTAATATATATAGTTTGTCTGCTGCTTTCAAAGACTGTCTTTTTTCGGGGGGGGGGAGGGAATGGCTATCATATGAAATGTTGCAGAGAAATGTAATTTTTATAAGGCTCTCTCTATCTTTCTAGCTACTCTCTCTCTTTCCTCTCTCTCTCTCTCTCTCTTTCCATTTCTCTTCCCCCTCCCCCAATGTGGTTTGTTATTGGTAGAGTTCTCTGTTTGCTTACCTAGAGCTATGCACACCAAAATCACTGCGATGTTTAGTAGCTGTTATTAATTAAAAAACAAAAAACAAAAAATAACCTACATGAATGAAAATCTAGATAAAACTGTGAGATTAAATATAGTTGCCGCATGTACTATGAAATTCCTTCTGTCTCCTGTCAGTTTGTGACGTGATTGACATTTTGTAGCTAGTTTAAAAATATTAAAAATTATAGACCCTCCGAAGGCTTTTTTCTTAATCTGTTTTTGTTGGCTCTTTGCTGCTCACATCTTGTTATTCCCCACCCATCAGGAAAGAAAGGGATTCTATGCCGATCAGGTGGCCCAGGTGATTCTGAGCAAGCAACCTGCCTCCTGAAACGCAATGGAAATTTTGTGTTTGAGGTGAGCAGTGAAAATAGCCCTGCCCTGCAGATCTGTGGCATCCTTGCAGCCCTAGGATATTTCAGTTCTCCCTCTTGTGAGGGTAGAAAGATAGAGGGAGATGCTGCTACCCTGGGCTCCTCGCCACCTCCATGGAATCTCCCCCAGAGTGCGCCAGGAGATGTCTTGCCAAATGCAAGGTGCTTCTTTTAAAATGAGTTTCAGAAGCAATACAAAACACAAGTGAGTGAGAAGATTAAAGATTTCATTCTAAACGGCAAGCAATATGTACATACCAAGCAAGTGCTTCATTCTGCCACTGGGAAGCCCTCAAGAAGAAGAATCATAGAATCATAGAGTTGGAATAGACCACAAGGGCCATCGAGTCCAACCCCCTGCCAAGCAGGAAACACCATCAGAGCACTCCTGACATATGGTTGTCAAGCCTCTGCTTAAAGACCTCCAAAGACGGAGACTCCACCACAATCCTTGGCAGCAAATTCCACTGTCGAACAGCTCTTACTGTCAGGAAGTTCTTCCTAATGTTTAGGTGGAATCTTCTTTCTTGTTGTTTGATCCATTGCTCCGTGTCTGCTTCTCTGGAGCAGCAGAAAACAACCTTTCTCCCTCCTCTATGTGACATCCTTTTATATATTTGAACATGGCTATCATATCACCCCTTAACCTCCTCTTCTCCAGGCTAAACATGCCCAGCTCCCTTAGCCGTTCCTCATAAGGCATCGTTTCCAGGCCTTTGACCATTTTGGTTGCCCTCCTCTGGACACGTTCCAGTTTGTCAGTGTCCTTCTTGAACTGTGGTGCCCAGAACTGGACACAGTACTCCAGGTGAGGTCTGACCAGAGCAGAATACAGTGGCACTATTACTTCCCTTGATCTAGATGCTATACTCCTATTGATGCAGAAGAAGAAGAAGAGTTTGGATCTGATATCCCGCCTTTCACTCCCCTTCAGGAGTCTCAACGCGGCTAACATTCTCCTTTCCCTTCCTCCCCCACAACAAACACTCTGTGAGGTGAGTGGGGCTGAGAGACTTCAGAGAAGTGTGACTGGCCCAAGGTCACCCAGCAGCTGCATGTGGAGGAGCGGAGACGCGAACCCGGTTCCCCAGATTACGAGACTACCGCTCTTAACCACTACACCACACTGGCAGTAAAGTGACTCAGTTGGCGCGGCCCTATGGCCAATTGTTCTGTGCATGAGCTTCTCCTTAACTCTGCCCAAAAGCATCCAATTTAGACATAGCTAGCCTGTGTGGCTTCCCCAATTGACTACATGCAGATCATTCATTACTGGCTATGTGCAGATTATTCATTGGTGGCTATGTGCAGATTATTCATGACTATGTGCAGATTGGGACGCGGGTGGTGCTGTGGGTTAAACCACAGAGCCTAGGACTTGCCGATCGGAGGGTCGGCGGTTCAAATGCCTGCCACAGGGTGAGCTCCCGTTGCTCGATCCCTGCTCCTGCCAACCTAGCCGTTCGAAAGCACGTCAAAGTGCAAGTAGATAAATAGGTACTGCTCCGGCGGGAAGATAAGCGACGTTTCCATGCGCTGCTCTGGTTTGCCGAAACGGCTTAGTCCTGCTGGCCACATGACTCGGAAGCTGTACGCCGGCTCCCTCGGCCAATAAAGCGAGATGAGCGCTGCAACCCCAGAGTCGGCCACGACTGGACCTAATGGTCAGGGGTCCCTTTACCTTTACCTTTATGTGCAGATTATTCATTAATGGATACATGCAGAGTATTTATTACTGGCTTCTTGCAGATTATTCGTTACTGGCTATATGTAGATCATTCATTACTGGCTACGTGCAGATCATTCATTAGTGGCTATGAGCAGATTATCCATTAGTGGCTATGTGCAGAATTATTCATTGCCACCCCCTCTCAGTGCCTCACTTTCTCAAAACAATGTCCAACATCAAAGAAGTTACCTAGCACTATCACTTCCTCCCAATTGATTAGGACATTAAAGGTGTGGTGTAGTGGTTAAGAGCGGTGGACTCGTAATCTGGTGAACCGGGTTCGATTCCCCGCTCCTCCACATGCAGCTGCTGGGTGATCTTGGGCTTGTCACACTTCTCTGAAGTCTCTCAGCCCCACTCACCTCACAGAGTGTTTGTTGTGGGGGAGGAAGGGAAAGGAGAATGTTAGCCGCTTTGAGACTCCTTAAGGGGAGTGAAAGGCAGGATATCAAATCCAAACTTTTCTTCTCTTCTTTTCTCATTCCATCAAAGAACTTAGCAAGGGATAAGAAGGGGGAAGGAACAGAGGAAGGAAGGGTAACCATATCAGATCACTAACTCCTCAAAAGACAATTTATCTTCTGGATAGATTGTCCATACAACTCGGTGAAGACATGGATCCAAAACAAGCAAAACGCACTGTTGCAAAAGTTGGACGCCAACCCCCCAATCTCTGCCAAGCTGTGGCAAGTTTCTAGGGGGTACAGGCAATCCCCAAGGGTCAGTATCCCTGCGAGAATCAAGATGCGGCAGAGGTTGTCATAGCTTTAAGAAATAGGATTCATTCACATATTGTCATGGATTGGTTGGATGCAGAGGAATAGTGGGGGGAATCAGCTGGGGAACCCCAGGAGAAGAAGGCTCAGGGCTCAGAGCCCAGGGAATGGTGGTGGGATGACGATGAGTTGTAAGAGGGAGAAGAAGCTGAAGGGGTAACTGGGCTTAGTGAGCTGGGGGAGTCTGTGGCAGAGAGAAGTCTAGAATCAGAGGCAGAAGCTGAAGCAGGAGAGTGGGTTGAGGGAGGCCAAGAGGCAGAGATGAGTTCAGTTGGTGAAGATTCATAAGCATCTCCCCCTCCTGCAAGCTCCCCTCCACCCTGGTATCTCAGAACTAGAAGAGGGAAGAAAAGAGTGGTGGAGGCTCCTCCCCATCCCAGCCTTCTCCCTTTTCTTCCTCTGACCACTCATCATTGTCCCACCACCACCAGTCCCCAAGCTCTGACCCTTCTTCCCTCAGGGGTTCCCCAGCTGGGTCCTCCCACCATTCCTCTGCACCCAACCAGTCCCATATTTTCACCTGAATTTAGATGGAGGAAGCCCATATCTTACAGCATGGTCATCTCCAGAGGGGTTTGTTCCCCACAGTAGTGCAGTTCATGAGTGCAAGGCATATCTCCCAGCCTGCCTTCAGCCAACCGGCCAGATTCATTCCAATCCTCATGCCACCAACTCTTCCTGAGACATCACACCCAGTTACCCTGGCAACCTTCCACACCTCCTGTTTCTGTTCACACCTCATAGCAGGGCGGGGGGAGAACAGATTTCTTGCATTTCCAATGGCCTTCAATCATTACGTGGTCTGCCAAAACCCTTCGCAATTTTCAAGTGGTCCATAGGATGTTTCGGAACTGCTGACTTAAGGCATGCTGAGTCATAGAATAATAGAATTGTAGGGTTGGAAGGGACCACGAGGATCATCTAAGTCCAACCCAAATCTTTTGTCCAACATGGGGTCTGAACCCACAACAATCAGATTAAGAGTCTTGTGCTCTCCCAACTGAGGTGTCAATGGCCTGTTTTGTTTCTGAATGGCCCCAGCTTGGCCAGGTCATTTTGCTTAAGCTAGCTGAGGAATTCTTCTGCAGCTAGCATTCTCCCTTCATATCCCAAATAACCAAAATCCTAGAATTTCTCTCTGCTATTTACTAACAGACTCCATTACCTCATAGACCTGAATCATTAACACAAATAGAAGTCATTAATATTGCAGTAATTGAAATGAGTAAGATTTG